GGTTTGGGATGGAATATTTTGAATCGGGAGAGAGAGATAGAGAGAGTGAGAGCGAGAGAGAGCGACAGAGAACAAGAGAGTGAGAAGGAGAAAGTGAGAGAGAGTGAGTGAGAGGGTGAGAGAGAGCGCGAGAGAGATAGAAAGAGAGAGAGAGAACAAAACCCCACCGTACCCCAAGAAATCTAAAACCGCGTTACCCAAAAAAAGTAGAGTTTCGGAAAAGTGTGGGGTGCGTTGTGAGGGTCCCATGAGGGATAGGGAGGCACTCGATCAGGAGGGTGGGCCCTAAGGAAAGGCCTTCCTTAGGGCCCACACCAGTGGGTGTGGCTATCAGTTACCGGGGGCCCTCGGAAAGGGGTCCTGGCCATCGCTCAATTAGTCCGGCAGGGGGGATGCACCCTTTGAAGTGCCCAAAAACAGACCGACAAACCCCCGGACGGACAGACTACGAAATACGGGATTGATGCCTCTGGTCAGTGGGCGTCCCTTTCATCTTACCGCGGCTGTGAAGCCCGGGCATGCGAGTTTAAAGAAAGCGAGAAAGTTAGGCCTCGAATTTAATGTTAAATTAACGGGTATTAAAAACTCTGGTATTAAAAACAGCACAACGTATTACTGGAATGACTGGAATACCGTAACGGAAGTATTTCTCCAACGCTGTGACGCACAGACACCGTTCTTTTGATACCTAATAGAGCGGCTGAAACGAGGCACGCGGCGAGGCCGATGATACGACACGCAACGCGAGATGCAACGCGAGACGCAACGCAACACGCAACGCGACACGCAACGCGAGACGCAACGCTACACGCAACGCTACACGCAACGCGACCGGATCACTAAGCTCAACGCTGTACGTTACGCAAGGCAACGTTCGCACACGTTACGCAAGGCACGTTCGCACACGTTCGCGAAAGGCAACGAGTTACGAAACGCTGTTCGAAACTCGGTCCAAACTCGGTACGAAATGTGACATGCAACGCAGTGGAAAACGCGCTACGCCACGCGAAACGCGAAGCGACCGTACGTGCGATTATCTCTTTTTCACCCCGAATAGATCGATAAGCCGGTTTCTACCCTTCCTCCTCCTCCACACCCTAATTTCCATATATCGGCATGCCAGGCCCCGATCGCGCCGCTTCTTGCGGCCCGTGGGAGCGTCCGACTTTTTTTTGGTGTGTCGATCATCGCAAGAAGGCCAGAGCGCTGGCCGTCGATTGTGCCCTTTGCAACGTTTTTGCCCATGTCGAAGAAGGGTACGATCCGAATGGGGGAGAGGATGATTCAGATGGCGATCGGTGCGAGCGAGAGAGAGAGAGAGAGAGAGAGAGAGAGAGAGAGAGATTCTGTACGCACGGCGCGCCAAAAATGGCGGGTACCAGTCGGGGGGAGAAGCTGTATGAATCGGGGGAACCCTGCTGGCCAGGCTAGGGTGCGCCGTGAATGGATAATGAGGGGGCTAGCAGAGAAATTTTGGGAAACTGTGCTTTCGGGAAATGGACAGCCAGCAGAAACACTTTGGGAAATGGAGAGATCAGCTCATGCTCCCGGGCTATCTAGCAGGAATTCTTTAAGAGCTCCAGCTGGTGATCCCCGAGCTAGCTAGCAGAGATTCTTTAGAAAATCGCATTCCGGAGTCCAGGCTAGCTAGCAGAGATTCCTTAAGAACTCCCGCTCAAGCTCCCGGGCTTGCTAGCAGAGATGCTTTAGGAAATAGCATGAGTCTAGGCGAGCTAGCAGAGGTTATTTAAGAGCTCCCGCCCATGATGCCGAGATTCTTTAAGAAAACGAGCTCGTCATCCCGGCCTAGCTCGCAGAGATTCTTTAAGAACACAAGCTCTTGCACCCAAGCTAGAAGAAACGCGCTCGTGATCCCAGGTAGCTAGCAGAGATTCTTCATGAGCTCCAGCTCGTGAGCTCGAGCTAGTTTGCAGAGGTCATTTGGCAAAACCGTATACCCCTCCCAACCCTACTAGCAAAAATTCCAATGCCACTCAATTTTGCCCCAGATGACGAATGCCTCAAGCGGCAACCGGATGCGCCCTAAAGCCCAATTTCGGATGGCAAGACGTTTTGCCCCGGCGGGTGTTTGGAAAGATGGTGATGGAGGGGCTCAATTTAGAGGCAGCAGCACCCTTCCTTACCCGCCATATAGACAGAGCAATTTGTCTATCAGCCCTCTCCTTCGGGAGTATCTGGCACCCATCTGACCCTTCCACTGCTATCGCTCACTGTCTTTAGGAGGGGGGCACCACTCCGGGAGGGTCACCATTACCATCCAATATAAGCTGGCTGATTGGATAAACAATGCCGGGAGCAGGACGCTGATTAAAGGGACCGGGAAGGCAAGGAAACCCCAACAATTACCGCGGTTTAATCTTAGAAAAGAGAAAATAAACTTCTTGCCCTCGCGCCTATGTTTAAGCCGATTAAAATTGTGTAATTTGCAGTCTGTTAAAACGTGAAACTCCAACTTTTGAATTTTAAATTGGAAGCGCAAAAATTCATTTTTTTATATTCCTGAGTCATACTTTAAAAAATCTTGAAATCATAAAAATGAAATTTTTGATTTGTTTCTTTTGAATTCGTTAGCAGCAATGACGTTTTTCCATCCTGGGCAAAAATTCTAGCTCAAAATAGTGTGATTGCTTCACGTCATACACGGCAGCAGCCATGGTCAGCGGCACTCGGTATTCTAAACATTGCCCCTAGCTACCGTACGCCCTTTGAGGTGACCGCTTATCAAGGGAATGCCAGGGAGGGACTAGAATATCAAATGTGTTGTTTATATTCACGATTGGGTGACAGACAAAGAGCCGCAGCACCCTACCCCCCGTTCATAGGCCTGGCGTGTACTTGAAAGCCCCCCGACCGCGCACCATATTTCAGGGGGGTAAGCCCCCCTGGTTCTCTCTCTCTCTCTCTCTCGCTTTCTCTCTCTCCTGCCGTTCCCGCCACCCGGAGGCCCGTTAAATACCATTAGGGCAAATCTTGGGCTCGTGAAGATTGTATCTTCTCAAGAACAAAGCCCGGCGGCGTATAATGATCGGGATTAGGGCATGTAAGGTATGCAAATTTGGGTATATGCGGTTTTAAAGGGACAGGGAAGGCATCACTAGCATCATATCGGTTCTAGTCTGTTAGTGGGGGGGGGCGTTTAGCGGGGGAAATTCAATTTTTTTTCCTATGATTATCTACGGCCCTATTCACCAAAATATAAACCATTTTTATAGCATTTTGCATGGTTTTTAAATATACAAAACAATATCAAAACAGCATGAAAATCCTCGAATTTTTGGCTTTTTGGTAAAAATGTATGAAAAATGACCAAAGAAGGTAAAAACATCAAAAAAAAATATTTTTTTAATAATCAAAAACTACTAAACTAAACTACTCTCTCTCCCTCTCTCTCGCTCTCTCTCGCTCCCCCTCTCCCTCTAGGCTAGCTTGGTGTGCTTGGTGCATGTGTCCCCCTCTAGGCTAGAAGGAGTGGCTTTGTCCACAGCCCATAAATCTGGGTCCTCCAGGGAGAGGCTCCTGCTCCTCTCCACTGCTCACATAGTCAGGACACGCGGGGTGGGGGGAGGTGGAGGGGGAGAAGGAGGAGCCGGAGATTTATTATTTCCAGGCTTGTTTAAATCTCCGAGGAGCCCTTTTCTACCCGAGGCGGAGACCCTATACCCAACACCCAATACGCTGCCATGAAAAAAAACGCTGGGACGAGGGTATTTAGGGGATACGCTGAAAATTAGGTTTGGGCTTGGCCTAGGCTTGGCTTAGGCTTACACGTAGGCTTAGAATTATGCTTAAGCTTAGACGTAGGCTTGTCTTATCAGGTTGAGGCTTAGGCTTACAAGGGAAGGGCGAATGCGCGATCTCGAAATTCGAAAAACGCTCGCGGCTACCCCCAGGTTATCGACTACGGGGAACACGATGGTGTTGGCAGAATTTTCCACCGAGCCCTGTAGGGCGAGATACGGTACTTCCGGAAAAATGATCATTTGCATGCGAGGAATTAGAATGATCCCTGAGGTTTATTAGGAGCTTCCAAGTATTTACCACAGTCCGTGAGTTAGTCGAGTGCTAACGGTCTCGCTTTTTGACCTACCAACGAGAGTTCGGATCCACCCGTAAATTTTTGTTTTTGCTTTTTTGGGGGCAATTTGCAACATGCGATTACCGGTCGCCAGCTTTCAGTGTGCATATTTTGTTTTTTTTTTGCTTTGGAGCTCGAAGCTTGCAAACAAAATTATTTGAAGACTAACTCACGGACTGTGGTAGATACTTGGAAGCTCTTAATAAACCTCCGGGATCATTCTAATTTCTCGCATGCAAATGATCCTTTTTCCGGACGTACCGTATCTCGCTCCACAGGGCCAGGTGGAAAATTTTGCCAACACCATCGTGTTCCCCGTAGTCGATAACCTGGGGGTAGCCGCGAGCGTTTTTCGAATTTCGAGATCGCGCATTCGCCCTTCCCTTGTTAGTATTAGGCTTGGCTTAGGCTTAGGCTTGGTCTTTGCTTAGGCTTGGCTTGAGCTCAGGATTGGATTTAGGGCAGGCTTAGGCTTAGGCTGGCTTGGGCAAGCCAGCACTCCCAATTTTGGATCAATACCGAATTATCAGACATTTGCATCCGGGGAGCCCTTTATTTACATGGTCATAAAAATGTTATAAATCGGGGGGAAGTGGCCACTGGAAGAGGAAAGATAACAGTCCGAGTACTTGGGGTGCAACGACTTTTACTGCTAATTAGATCCGGGATGGAACGGAAGGTAAGAAAGCAAGGGGTTGAGAGAGATAGCGAGAAAGAGAAAGAATACAAAGCGGGAAGTGCTTTATTCTCATTTCAAATCGTCAGAACACAACAAATTGACGCACTCGTCGTTGGGGAAGTGCAGCGAGTTGATCGTGCTTTGTCTAAAAAAATATGCTTTTATCACTGTTCTTCTCTCTCGCTCTCTCTCTCTCTCTCTCTCTTTCTCTTACTCGCTCTCTTACCTTTTCTGCCTTTGCAGCCGCCCCAAAATCCGCTTCTGATGCTGCACCGGATGCTGCCGTAGCCGTTCCTCCAGCTCACTCTCGCTGAACACCGCCCACACTTCAACGCTCCTTTAAAGGCGTGGTAACAAGAGAAAAAATTCAGCCTACTTATCCAGCAACGGCAACTCTTCTACCCGGCTAAGAGATCGCTCCTCTTGGTCACCCTCGTCGGCAAATTTCAGGGTCTCGACAGTCTGGAGATTTAGATATTTGGAGCACGACCAGGTTTTGCTCTCTTACTCTGTCACGGTCGATCTCTCTTGCTCACCGTCTTCTTGCTGACTTTTCTGCCTACCTGTGGCATGAAAGCTATCGTATCCCGGCGGTCCACCAACGGGGTCGAGGTGTTCAGCGACCGCTCGTTCATGTACTAAATTGACAAACACGGATTTTCAAGGGATATGAAGGCAAAAATTTATGTATCTATCCCTCGCTCTCACTCTCCCCCTCTCGCTCTCTTGCTCCCTCACTCTCACTGCTTTTTATTAGTCACTCACTCTGCCTAAATCCTCGCTCTCGCTGTCTCTAGCTCTTGCTCTTGCGCTCTCTCTCTCTCGTTCTCGCACTCTTGCTCTCTTGCTCGCTCTGTCTCTCTGCCTTTCTCGCTGATTTTATAGCGCATTTTGATCTCTAACTCTGTATCGCTCTTGCTCTCTCTCGCTCTGTGTCTCGCTCTGTGTCTCTCTCTGTCTCTCTCCCCGAAATACCTGCAATATATCCAGCGTCGTAATATGCTGTTTCTCCGGATATTTCTGGCGTATCTCGACGATAATCTTCAGCAGTTCCTTCACCTCGACCTGTGAAGCAATAGACCACGATATAGGGGGCACCTCTATCTGCTCGGGACGCTTCTTACGCTTGATGATTCTCCTCCCAAAGTAGTGGATCTTTAGGAATAGGTCCTTCAACTCAAGAGCGGCCAACTCGGCGCACATCGACAGTACGGCGACGCCTAAAGGAGCTCTGCTAGCTTGCCGAGCCTAGTTCGTTTAAAGGATGCTAGCTAGCTGACCATGGTGAAGCCCATTAAATGTTTCCTGCTGTCTCGTTTTCTCGAGTTACCCAAAAATCTGTGCTAGCTCTCCTTGGCTGGACGTTTGAACTAATCCTTGCTAGCTTTGTCCCAAGCCATTTCCCGAAAAATCTCTGCTGTGCCGTCGTGCTCCTTTTCCTAAAGAATCCCTGCTATCTTGTGTGCCTGCTTCGCAGAATTTTTCCCGTACGATGGAGCGGGAGAGCGAGAGAGAGAGAGAGAGCGGAAGAGTGGGGGAGAGAGTCGGAGGGAGAGAATGAGAGAGAGGATGGGAATGAGCATGAGCTAGTGAAATATGGAAATAGCGTGAGTGATGGGATAGTGGAAGAGAGACCGAGGTACAATGAGCATGAGCAGGAGGTAGTCAGAGAATGAGAAAGCGAGCGAGAGAGTGTGTGAGAAAGAGAGTGACTGCGCAAGCGCGTATGGCGCCTTTAAAAATTCCCAAACAACTTCTGGCAGCCTACCTAACCACAAATGAATATTTTCGCCAGAAGGTACCAATATCAACCCACCAAAAGTGACAAAGAGAAATATATAAATTAGCGTAAGCGCATGATTGAGATCTGTCGGCATTTCCCCCATCGTCAAATTCGCGACAAGATTGAAGGTGACGAAAAAGGCCTCGAGGAATGTCTTGTTGCTGCCTCAACGTCATTTTGAAGGTGTTTTAAAGGCATACCCACCAGCTGCCACGTACAGGAATCCGCCTAGGGTACAGAAAAGGAGCAGGATACTGGCGTTCAGCGACAAGGGAAGACGGGGCTGTTCTGGGGCCGCAACTTTTGGGGTTTCTTCTATACTTTGGGTTTCTTTGGGGTTTTCTGTAGAAAAATGTTCATTATATACTTTTCGATATAGATTAAAAATTCTGAACAAGCTAAGGCTTTTGAAAATAGCTAAAATATTACGGTAGACCCTAAAACAATCATTTTTCAAGTTTTTCCTAAGAGATTTTTTACAAAATTACAAAATTGGCAACTAACCGTTATTGTTCGGATCTCCCATCGCGGCCGGATCTTCCGGAACCGCCAAATTTTCGCCGGTATCAGAGGCTCGTTTCTTCTCCTCGGAATATGAGTCTTTTAGGAAAGATCCAAAAAATAGGATGACTTAACGTTAAAATACTGATACCTATGCCGTCGAACCCTCAAAATCGGCTTGCTGTTGTTGACGAGGTGTAGGAGTTTGTCCTTTTTCCGGCCAAAAAGACGATTGGAAGCCGCTCGATACTGAGATTTTATTGTTTCAGGTAATAATAAAGCTTCTGAAAGAAACTTCTAAATTATTATCAAAAAGCAAAAGATTGGCATGAGGCGGGAGTCGAACCCGAGCGCTAAACTTGGTCCGCCCGGATGCTAGCCATTACACCACGCGGCAAGGTTTGCAAAACGGTTTGAAATTACTTAAAAATTTTTTTAAATTTTCCATGGCAGGCTAGCAAAGATCTTTAAGGATTTGCAATGTAAAGGTAGCGATATTCAGCCTTTTTAAAGTTATGTAAACCACCAACCCTGGTATAAACCTTCAAGACGATTTGAGACAAAAATCGGCCAATATCCACAGCGGCCAGGACCATCAAGGGGATGCCGATCATTCCTAAATTCGGTGGCTCTCTCTCGCTCTCTCTCTCTCCTAAAGTCCGACCTACATACCGTACACCACAGCAACGCACTGTCCCTTGGCGGTGGTAGGTACCGCATAGTTGTATCCAACACTGGTGGTTGTCTGGAAATTAAATTAGCATAGCTGGGGTGAGGGAGAGAGAGCGAGAGAGCGAGAGAGCGAGAGAGCGAGAGAGTGAGAGAGAGTGAGAGAGATAGAGCGAAAATTCACTTACCAAAATCGATAAAGCATATAAGACAGCGTTCATACGATCCCAGCGAGGCGGGAGGACATCTTTTGTCGATAGATCGGGCGCCATTTTGAAGTTAGGGCCCTCGTGACGTTGGCTGATCCTGTAAAGGGCAGGCTAGCAGTGATATGTTGGAGTTATTAGGCCTCGGCGGGAGCTAGAGAGATGAGGGAGAGAGAGCGAGTGAGAGAGAGAAAGAGAGAGCGAGCGAGAGAGACGGAGAGAGCGAGAGAGAGAGAGAGAGAGAGAGAGAGAGAGAGAGAGAGAGAGAGAGAGAGAAAGAGAGAACGGGAGACAGCAGAGAAAAAGATAAAGAAACTTACTGCACAAGCAAATCATGAATCTCCAACTGAAATTGCTGCTGCTCAATCGGCTTCAAGTGCTCCGACAGCCTCCCCAGCTCCTGTTGAATATCCCGGTATCGGCTCTTGATCTGGGCAAACTAGAAAGTACAAAAATCCACAAGACCCGCTTTCCTTGCCTTTTCATGTTGCAGCTGGAGGTCCGTCTCGTTCTCGATTTTTCTAAATTCTAAAGTATTTTTGGGGTGGTATTATCCCTTCAAAATCTGCACAAAACCTCACGCAAACATCCAGGCCCCGAAGATCAAGTAGCAGAACAGGAAGCAGTAGAGCCCAAAATGAGGGAGCGCGATTTTAAGGAACTATAATTTGCAAAAATTAAGGCATTGAGCACGATAAACCCTGGCGATGCGGCCCGCTTTCCGCCGATTCTCCGTGACATGACCATCAGCTTCTTCTTCTGATGAATTTTCAGACATTTAGATAGTTATTTGAATTAGTTGGTATTAAGTAAAACAGTTGATTTAGTGTCGCGGATTTTATGCTGCTAAGGAAAAATTTTGGGACCCCCGCTGCGCCTTGAATTATTAAATTAGAAGCGGCGCAGCTGGGCCCCCAGGCTTTCTGGGTCAGGCTCCATCCAGTTTTTTTATATCCCGGCTCCCAAAGAAGCTACATGTGTGCAAAGTATACCAAAATGTTCGTCTTGATCTGGCGAGTATTTTGGCATAACTTACAGCCCTGTATGATCAAGGGTAGCCGAGATATATTGGTTGGTAGCGACTGGGTGGGTCATCTGGGCATCAGCCACTTCATGCAGCGTTAATGAAAATTTGGAACGGGAGGGGCCTAAAATAAGTGGGAAACCCCGAGGTATAAAAACTCTACAAAAAACCTTACACTACGACTATTCCCTAGGCTTAAAAACTACATATCCTATAAAAAATACAAAAATATCGATTTTCGGCCAAAATTCCACGTTTTAACATTTTTAATGTTTTTAAAATGTTTCTTTTAGAAATATTTCAGTTTTTCATCGTTTCAAACATAGTTAAATTTCATTAAAAACACTATCAAAACAATCCCTATTACCTTACATAGATTTCTAGGAAAAGATTCGCCCCCGCCCCCCCCCCCGCTAATGCGAAAGAACCAAGAGGTGAATAAACTATTTAGAAGCTTTTAAGTTAAACTTTCCATTATAGGTATCCTTCTGTACTTATACTTTCCAGCATAAATTCACGTTTTCCAGTCGAATTCTGTCCTGCCTAAAAACCTAAAATTGTACACGTTGAACAACAAACCTTTTCTAATAAGAAAACAGCGTGCCATTTTTCCCACAAAACCTCTTGAAAGCCTTTTATTCAACCCAAACAACACGGTTAATGAATTAAATGAGCACGAAACCCTATAAAATATGATGAGGATCTGAGGTGGGTGGGGGAAAAGCATCGAAAAAGCAAAAAAAGCAGCAGTATATCCGCAGCAGCGGGCAGCACCGACCAATCACAGATTGGTGAAAGCGAGAGAAAGAATGGGGGAGAGAGAGCGCGTTAGAGACAGCGACAAAACATACATAGATCATCGGTTTTCTAAAAAACACACAATAGCTTAAAGCCAAAAATTACACAAGCGATAGGTAAGTACAAAGTGCGTACAATAATTCGTGGTCTATAATTTGGTATCATAGGAGATGGCAATATCTTCAGGCAATCGACTGTTTCGACCCGTTGCGGCGGCCTTGCGCCGACTTTTGGCGTTTGCTGGAGTGGCTGCGGCTGAGGCGGCCCTTCTTTGATGACTTCCGATCAGACTGAAAAAAAACTCTAAAAAAAAGTTTTTCTAACCTTTTTTAACTACCCAAAACAGTTAGCTGAAATTAGCTGGACAATACAACTTTTATTAAAAACTAAAAAAACTGTTCATTTTTACCAAAATTTTAAATTTTTACCCAGATTTTTCCTCACTTAAAACTTACCTAAATGTCCAGAATACAAATGCTAGAAAGAAGCGATAAATAAGCTATAAAGCTAGATAAATAAGGAACAAAAAAATACCTACAGAATTCTCGTTCTCCTTGCCCTCGCTGCCGGCCCTGACGAGCGCTTTCTGGAGGCGCGGGAACGCGGAGACCAGCTTCGCGCCCATCTCCTTCAGCTCGTAGACGCCAATCTAAAACAATACATAATTTGTTTGCTTAAAAACTTCCGTACCTGTTGACCGCGATATTTGCCGGTGTCAAAGCCGCAGTAGGTGCTCTCCATCGTGTAGACGCGGGGCAGGCCGAATTGGCGCCACAGGGCAACCCTAGAAAATCTCCGGGTTAAAAAGGACCTAGAAAACAATAAAAATAGTATAAGAATATAGGAAGGACAATAGGGTAATAATAAAAATACAAAAAGCTTAAAAATTTAATCAAAGCACTACCTGGCCGAGGGTTCCTTGTCTTTTTGGATGGCGTACTTGCAGCCCTTCAGCGAGAAGCCGGGCGCTATCTAGAAAAAATTTTTTATTACTTTAATTGTATTCAAAACCACCAAATACCGTAAGAAAATACTGATTTTTTTTTTCTGCACCAAAATCTGCAATTTTGACAAAGATGCCGACAAAATGTTTAAAAATTATTTCTATTCGTGTTGTTTTCGTTATTTAGCTGCTCGAAAATTCCCCCAAAAATCCTCGCTAGCCCGCCCACACCTTGTGCAAAACCTCGGGCAGAACGTTGTGATCGGCAAATCGTTCGACGAGCGCCTCGTCCTTCCGATCCGTACCGCGCCAACTTTCGGCCGGGTTGTTCCCGAACGTGAATATGTTGGCCCTAAAAATTAAGTTAAAAACAGCTTAAAAACGCTCACTTTTTCGAGTGCCCATGCAGATCGATGACGCAAAATGGGGGCTTGGCGAGGACGTCGACCATATATTGGATGACGCCCTTGGCATGGTAGATCTCGGGATGACGGCTTCGAGAAGGGCGATCCCAGACGCGATTCATGTCGCAGCCGGCGAGTGAGCATCTACAAACGTTTGAAGATGTTTATAGCTTCAAATGCCAAAAAAGCTAAAATTTCACTCACCGATGACTGCCATTGATGACCCCATCGGGGTTGAGCATCGGGATGAGCTTGAAGATGAAGCGTGACAGGAGGTCTTGAGAGTCCAGGTTTCCGAGGGCGGTCAGGACACCATGCATCATCCACGAGGAGTTGCTCTCGCCGGGATGAACACGGGAGCTGATGAAGATGATCTCGCTAAAAATCGGCGTAAACGTGAGAGAGAGCGAGAGAGAGAGAGAGAGAGAGAGAGAGAGAGAGAGAGAGAGATCGAAAGAGCTTACCGTTTTTCGAGCTGCTCGACGGTGCCCGGCGCGGTGACGGTGACGACATGAATCGGATTTCCGGCCAGAGAATGCCCGATGACGTCGGCCCGAATCGAGGTGGACGGGCGAGGCCGGATCAGATGGCGGTGGAGAACGGTCTGGAAAATCGGGCACTGGACTGTTAGCGGGGGGACGACATTTTTCTTTCTTTTTCATTACCTCTTTTTTTTTCCTTAAAATTGGATGAGAATGGCGGAAAATTTCCTTTTAAATTTAGAAGTTTTTTGTGGCTTTTAGTAATCAAAAAAATGATAAAAACACTGTAAAAAAATGTTCAACAGGGCCCGGTAGCCTCGCGCCCCCCGCTAATAGAAAAGGCCAAAAACTTTTTCGAAAGATTTTCCGATCATTTCCGCGCCTTCATATACGAGTACGTGTACGGGAAGTGGTAGGCGATGTATACAACGTCGGCGGCATGGCGGAACGACACGGAAAAGCGGGTAGTGTAGAGAGCCCTGAAAAGGCGTAATTTCAGAGATGCTCTATTAGTGATTCTCCCAGTGCTGCACGCAAAATTAGGCCCTCAAAAAAAGCGGAAACGAGCTCGACAAGACAATGTAAAATTTGGGAAGTGATTTTGGATAAAACCTCTTTTTCGCAGCTTTTCGCCGGTTTGCCGCAGCTTTAGACCGGAAAACTCGTTGGAACCAGCTGCAAAAAAAGTTCATTTGGTTGTTTTCTGGCTAGTTGTCAATTCTTAAAACCTGGAAATTGCACTAAAAATTTTAAATAAAAAAACGCCATTTCGGAAAACTCCAAAAAACGTACCTCGGCTTCTCATTCGCATTCTCGTCATCATCGTTGCCGATCGTGTAGAGGTTTCGATAGTAGTGAACTTGCTGCCCGGCCCGGACCCAGCCCGGCCGCCCGCTCGTCGCCTCGGTCACGGAGAACATCACCGGCTGCATCCCTGAAACAAAGGCATCACTTTCTTTACAGAATTTTGAACTAAAAAATTCTAAAATAAAAAGCTTTAGGGTTTTAAACTTTAAAATATCAGTTTAATTCTTGCCGACCCACCTTTCCCAAACATGCTCGTCGTCTTGAGGTTGTTGATGATCTCAAACGTGTAGGGGACGTTGGCGCGGTTGTTCGAGATCTCAAAGTAGAACCACTGGAAGTGGTCGCGCGTCTGGTTGATATCTGGCGACAGGATCAGCTCGTAGTGGTTGGGACCGACCTGAAAAAAAATTCTAAATTTGGCTAAAGTAAAGTAAAAAGGCTAGGTTAAAATTTTGAAAATCCCCATCAAAAAGTTTTTAATTTATCTTCAAAACAAACCAGGGTGGCCATTCGCAAATTTCCGCTTTCAAACCGGCTCTCGAACATCAAGTTGCTGATCGACGGGCTGGGCCGGCCAATCCTAAAAATTAAAAATTGTCTAGAAAACAAAAAAACCATACCGCTGCTCATCGATGTTCATCAACTGCTCGGCGGGCCGGTCGGCTCCCGAATGGACATCGCTCAGCTCATCAATGCAGTAGACGACCCGCCGCGAAAAGTCGCTGCTCGCCCGATTCTGCGTCACGATCGAGCTGGAATTGGTTTTTGAAGCCTTTTTTTCTTTTTCCAATTTCCTAATAAAATAAAGCCATTTTTTAACTATATCTAAACGAAAAACCTGAAAACTGTTTTTAATAAAAAAGCGCTTTTTCGATACAAATTTCAAATTTCAAAAAAATTCCAGGTTTTGGAAAAGTTTTACTGTAGAACACCTGGCTAATATTACTAGAAACTAGGCAAATAAGAAAAAATCCAATCCTCCGCCCCCGATAATGCCAAAGTACCGAAGGAATGCGCTTACCGCAAAGCCGACGAGCTGGCTTGCAGCGGCTGCATGTCCAACGCCACATCCGGCCCGCAAAATTCTGGGTAGGCGATTTTCACAAAGCGGATGATCGAACGAGTGCTCTAAAGAAATTTTCAAAAGTTGAACAATCTAAAAAATACCTGCACTTCCGTTTTGATCGCCTCCCGATGTCCAAAGCCAAGGTCCTCGCCCTCCGTCTCCATGACACCATCGCGGAACTCCGAAAAAGTACTGAAAAGCGGTAAAAAAAAATTTTTTCAATGAACCTCGCGTAGTTCTCGAACAGTTCGGCGGGTTTTTGACGGCTGTACTCGGCGGACAGGTCCTTCTCGGCGGCCGCGTCTTCCTAAAAGTGAAAACTTTGTTAAAATTCTTTGGAGTTGCTCTATTTCCTCAAAAAAAATCTCAAAGCTTGTTTACGTCAAAAAGAAACTAAAAAATTACCTCCTCACTGTGCGAGTGTTGCCCGTCGTCCAGCGACTCGTCGACAAATTTTTGCAGGTCGCGGCTCTCGAGAAGGTTAAGGAATTGGTCCTCCTCGGCTTCATCTTCGTCCTCTGAAAAAGATGCTTAGTTCTTCGGTTCTTTCGTCTTATCGGGGGTGGGGGATCCAATTCTTCTTTGGGGTCCAGAAATGCTTGGTCATTTAATCATAGGTATTATAATAGCGTTTTCAGTAAAATTTAACTATATTTCAAGTGGAAAACTTAACTGAAAATTTAGAAATCTTTTTAAAAAATAAAATTTTCGTCGAAATAAAAAATTGTTGGTACAATTTTTGATCTAAATCATCGTGTTTTTGCGTTTGTTTAAAGAAAGTTTATACATTTTACCTTTAGGGATATTAAAAAAAAAACAGTTCAAAAACGCTGGCGCTAATTAATCAGAAAAATGCATAAGGAAAAAAGTTAAAAGTTTTTAAAGCGTCTTTCTTTACTGTCGTTTTTTACTGTTTTTTACAAAAATAGAACTTTTTCAATGCGCAAAAGTTCAATTTTTAAGCTTTATTTTTCAACTCAAGCTCCCCTACCCGACGACGAGCCATCGCTGTACACCTCTTCCAGGGAATGGGAGTAGGAATATTTTAAGAATCGAGACCTTAGCCAAATTGTTTTCAGGACAACCATCCTTTTGCCCCAGAATGACCAACAGCCATCGAGATGATGATGGTCGGCAGGGCTGCGCGTTGGCAGTTTCCAGGCGAAAAAGTACCCGTTTTCAGTGTTGGCGGGACGTCATTGCCGGGGCCCATTTCTCGAGGGTCAGTACAAACAGTTTGTAGCTCTGGGTTCTGGGTAACCCCCCGTGCGAACGAACACCTATCGGCTCACCGGATACCAGAACGCACGAAAAGTTGTGTATCGATTGTGGAGGTTGGAGTTAGTAGTTCCTGATAATTTAGGGGCAGTCCGGTGCTTCCTGGTTATCGGGGGTCGGTTATTTTAGCGGGGGTCGGTTGCGAACTTTTTTCTATAATATCGTGCGGCTCGGCTAATTAAAAACTGGCCGTTTTTATAGACTTGTGCGCCGTTTGAAATGGTTCTGGACTGTTAGCGGGGGAGGAGACATTAAGAAAAACGGCATAAAACATGTTGAAAAAAAATTTCTTTTTCGGTCTAACGTATATGAAAATGGCTAAAACCGCGCTATAACCCTAGATTTCGTGACTATAGGATAAATATTTTTATAATTTTTGATTATCGGAAGCTACTAAAAACAGTATTAAAATAAACTACAATTTATCACTAGGCAGGTATAGGCTAAACGAAAAGAAGATGCCAACCGACCCCCGCTAAAATAACCGACCCCCGATAACCAGGAAGCACCGGCAGTCCTTTTAAGACCACCCGAAATCAGCAAAAAGTAGGGGAAAACTCGGAACTCGTGAATTATCGGGAGGAACCAACTTTCTCTGAGGGTAAATTTTTCTCCTATAGCTAGAGGAAGTGCTTCTAAATTCTTTTTTTGGGAAAATTTCACTTTACGGTATGGTCCCAAAATGTAAATTTTTCAACTGGAATCGGTGCAGCTCGATGAGTTTGTGCGTTTCCAGTCGAAAAAACGATTGGGAAACATTTCTGGACAAAGTTATAGACTTTTGAAAATCGCTAGTTCACTTTACGGTATGTGAACAAAACCTCAATTTTTGAACAGGAAACGATAAAGCTCGATGAGATAAAGCGTTTTCAGTTGAAAAAAACAATTGGGAAATTTAAAATAAGAAAGTTATGACGTTTCAAAGATATTTTTTGCTAAGGACTGTCGGCTACGCAACACTCCTATCACCGCATTCTAGCGCGTGCGCACTCTGCCAGCGCTTACGTACTTATCTAAAAGCATTTATAATTTTTAAAACTAGTATTTTAAGCATAGAATAGATAAATAACAGCTAGTTGTGGCCTCCAAGATTGTCAGGCAAGGCGGGCCGTCGCTTCGGATGGGCTGCCGCTCCACTCTTCCGAAATCGGGGCGCCTGGGCGCTACGCGCTTCCTCGGGCGCCCCGATTTCGAAACCCTGTACGAGCTCGCACCCATCCGAAGCGACTAGGCCCACGAGTGGCACGAAGCCTTATTTTTAGGCTTAAATTGGGTGTTCAGCTAGCAAGCCCCTTCAAAAAAGCCATATTTTGGTAAATTTTCATAGTAATTTTCAAAAGCTAATAACTTTGTCCAGAAACGTTTCCCAATCGTTTTTTGAGCTGAAAACGCACGAACTCGTCGGGATACATCGATTCCAGACGAAAAAATGACATTTTGAGAACATACCGTAAAGTGAAATTTAGCCCTTTTTTTACTATTCCTAACCGTAAACACCTTAAAAATTGCGATTAAAAAACTGCAAAAATAACGATTTTTTTTTTGATCAAAATGGCCGGTTCTAGGATAAAAATTTTATTTTTTATCTTCAGAAGTTATAATCTGTAGTAATTTTTTGTTGTAATATAGTTAAATCTTACTAAAAACGCTACTAATGCTTACTATTACATTAATAAGCAATTATGGCTGTGGAAAAAAAAATCGAATTTCAGGCATTCACGTAAATACAAAACTACAGGCTACACCACGTAATGTACGGATGCTATATTTTTATAAAACAGACTACAATCACCAATCCTCACCACTAGATGGCGTCGACGATCCCTCAGGCTCCCCGGGGGCGGCGGTGCTCGGCCTCCTCGCCCCCGCCAGTGATGCTCGAGCGGCGCGTCCCTGCTCAGCCGCCGAGGCGACACTCTAAAATGTGGATATTTTGGCTGGGCACTTTTTGATTTTTGATTTGATCGCAATTTAGCTTCAACCGGCTATTCCCGGTCTGGAAAGCGCTAAAATCTGCGGCTTTTCGTTTCGCTTGGGAAACTTCGTGCCGCCAAGCTTTGGCTGTTTATGAAATCGGGCCCGGTTAGCCCGTCAAAATGTTCGCACGTTTCCAGCGCTCCCCCAATCGATTTTCAATGTCTCCCGGGGCGGTTCTGCGGCTTTTCACTGAAAAAACGCACGAAGGTGTAGGGGAAGGTGGCGGTGGCGGGCAGCGGAAACGGCCGGGTGGACATGCAGCGTAGACACAGCGCGCATAGGGACTCCTGAAAGTGAAAAAAAATAGATTTTTCAAGCGTGGATCCGCAGAATTCATTATGTAAATTGAAAAACCCCTAGAAATTTAGAATTTTTGTGTTTTATCAGCCTTTTCAAGAGCCAAATCGTTCGAACAGAAAGACGGCTAAAAATTCTCCGAAAAAGCGCAATTCTCCAAAAAAAAAAAATAGATTTTTGAGGCACGGATCTACAGTATTCATTATGAAAATTTAAAAATACAGTTAAAACCGAGAAATTATAATTTTTGGGCATTTACGAGGATCCTAAAATCGAAATTTCGGGGATTTTAAGAGGAAAAACTTTGGAGCCCGAGTTCGATGTTCCTCTAAAACAGCTTTAAAAACTTAAGTGCGCATTTCTCTGAAAAACAGCTTCCGGATCCCTCAAAAAATTAAAAAAACTTATTTGCTCGTTTTCGGGGCCCACTAAGGATTTTCAAGAACTGAAATCGACCTAGAGCATAGAGCCTACCTAGGGCGACTACAAATTTCCCTAAACAAGGCTTGAAAAACCGAAAAAGCCCCAAAGGGCTGCATGGCCCTGCGGTGATTGCCGGGCCCGCGGTCCGGAATAGGACGAAAAAATTACACGGATACGTTGCCCAAAGCAACCGCTTTTGGGGAATGGCCCCGGCCAGCAACCCCTATCAAATGGCCATTTCCTCGTTGCAAGGGGCCAACCTGGGAAGAAAATAGAACTCAGCGCGACGGGTTGAAAATAAAAAATTTAACAGACTTTTCTTGTATAAAAAAGACTTGAAGACGAATGCCTACATTTTAAACTCGTATTTTTTTATTTTAGTCGTGCTCATGTCTTTCTAAAAGCAGTATAATCAGGGTAAGGATACTTTCGTGCTCAAAAACTTTTTTTGATAAAATTCTAGCTTTTTAAGGGGATTCGGCATCCAGAATCAAGCAAATCCATGAACGATTAGCTCCCAAGTCTCATAAATGAGTCTGAAACCCGGAGCTTTTGCATTATCGGCGGGAAGGGGTGAATTTTTGCGTAAATCCAGAAAGGTCTAGTAACTTCGAAGCCAGTATTTTAATAGTTATTTTAGTAAAATTAGACTATTTTTCTAGCGGAAAAAACTATTTAGAAACTACGAAATTGAAAAAATGATTTTATCAAAAATCGTGTTTTTTGGGCTAAAAATTCTAAATTTTTTGCATTTGCTAAGGAAAATGTGATACAAAAAAACAGTCTAGTTTTTATAAAAACTAAATATTTTCTGAAAACAAGTAGTCCTCAATCTTTTCGGGCTACCAGGTTTGCGAATGCCTTTTGTTACCGAGATTTTTCTAGATTTTTCAGGATACTGTATTTGCTCTTTGTCTTAATTGTGGTAAATTTCCTTTTTCATTTCTCACGCAACCCCAAAAAAAAACCCCAACCTAGCTAGTCCCACCATTGCTTCCTTATCATCATCTTTTTTTGGTTATCAGCCGGGACGAAGAAAGAAATCTCTTATCGGGTGGGGGCACACCCTTCCCCGCCTTTTGAGATGGTTTTCAGGTCACCGTGCGCGACAAGTTGTCGCCCATAAATCATCCACCCATCTATTACGGTACTCTTATCGCCATATAACTGCCTCCTCTTTACCGTCTTTACGATCCCAAAAATGACAATTGGGTTTTGTTGAGGGTTGGAATCGTATAGTGGAGGGAGGAGATGGTCTACACCTGAAATTCCCACAGTTCGATTTCAGGAGAGGCAATTCGGGCCCGGGCGCCGACCACAAATTTATGCCAGACGTATCGAGGTACGGTAGGAAACAGGACGGGGACGTAGTTCGGAACTCGTAATTCCGGGAAAATCCACCGAACGTTTCAGTCGTCCTCGATCCTCAAATATTCAAAATCTTCAAAAAATATTTTCAAACAAACTTCCAAGGCTTAAATTTAATTAGTCCGGTTTTTGAAATATTTGCAGGATCACTACCGTAACTTTAAAGGGACAGGCAACGCACGTCGATGGACTTTTTAAGTGTAATTTCCTCGAAAGTTTGCTACCCCGCGGCACGCAACGCGAACCGCTTGGCCATTTTGATCGAATCGTAATCCCTTACGCAACGCAATGGCAGGCTTTCGCGTCGCGTGTCGCGGGCGGGAACTTTTAGAGCAATTCCTTAGAAAAACGGTTTTTCTTCGGTTTTTCAAAAACCCACAATCTTGCCTTACCTGGACCTTTAATGCGCTTCTAGAAACACAATTCATGCAACGCAAATGCAATGCAACTCCACGCGATTTCAAAGGCTTTCAAATCTCTATCCGAGCAAAAAAAGAAGTCCAAATTAACATAGTTTCAAAGCTAGCTTCAAAATTTATCCGAGTTACAGTATGCGTTAGACCGCCTCATTTTCTCAATGGGATCCCTCTTAAAAAATACATTCATCCCATTCAATCTTTTTTTCCTTAAATTCCAATCCTACCGTACCCAGGCTCCCTAAATTATGTCAATTTCTCGGGGGTCGAGTCCCCCAGAGAGGATGGGGTGTTCGCGATTCCGGGCGCCGATAAGGTGAACACAGGGCCGGCCGGCCGAACGTTCGATTCCCGGGGAGAGAGAGAGAGAGAGAGAGAGAGAGAGCAACAGAAAGAAAGCCAGTGATTTCACAGCCCTTCCTCCACAAGTGTGTTGGGTGTGGATGGGGCGGCA